AAGGCTCACCTCTGTCTCCACAAAAAATGCTGTTTTCCGACTACTTTATGGCTTTGTGTGTGAGTGAGTGCCTGCAGAGGCTCAAAAAGACAGTGGAATGTGTATCAAAAGCAGCACACAACTTTATAAGGCTATAATTAAACCTGAGACAATCAAGGAAGTCACATCACACAAAAGCTGCAACAAGGGACAGAAAGATAAGGGTTTTGGATAAGTCTGTTTCTAGGGAAGACAAAGTAGATCTATGGGTCATATGGTCCAGCTTCCATTCTACATGAATTCTTTATACAGCAGGCAAATAGACATAAAGAACAAAATACAGTGGGCATTTTGAAATATCTCTTAAAGCATACAAATTAACCCTTCCTACTGAGAATGAAATTCTACACACCCTTGTCCCACGGAACATCTAATACCATCTAGTTCTATGACACAAAAATCCAACCAAAAGTGTGAAGAAAGATTTTTTTCAGTCCTCAGGTACAACCATTTCTCCAAAAAGTAACATGCTTTCAGCTACTAATGAAAATCCTAAATTTTCACTTTTCCTCAAGATGGCTTTTTCAATATCTGAGACCAGTCTCGGCAAAGCTATGGCATTCGTGCACAGCCAGCTGTCTGTATCATTGAAAGCCCTAAAAGGTTCACCATCTCTGCCTTACACTATTATTGCTTAGACAAGTCTTTTGCTAGAATAAAGGTAAAATAAGAAATATATAATATATGTGAAAATGTAAATATATCATAGCTCTTTTAACAAACATAATTATTTGGCTCAGTACTGACCCATCTCTAGTTGATAGCCACGGGGGCTATCTACTTAACCAATTTGACTAATTTACAAGGTGACTGGCCCTCAGGAGCCCACAGCTTAAGAAATTGTGGGTGAAAATGCCTTCATCCTCTCTGACTTTGAAAATACATCCTTGATCTACAGAATCATGAAAATAGAATCCAAGTGCATTCCTACACAATGCCAGTACCAGAAAGAAGTAATACATATTCTATAGCTCCTAGTGATTTTTAGCAAGTAGTATCAAAACTAGGGCTCAGGTGAGTTGCACTCCTATTATTTTTACCGAAAACACTGATTTGTACATTCACCCAGCAGCTCGTTTCTGCTTTTTCACCTCGTGGTCCCTTCTGCTGGTGGCGAGGCACCATGACAAAGGTGACCGTAAATGCTTCACGTTTAGTTCTAGTGACCATGAGGTGTTGACCCCACGGACTTGACTTCCCAGTTAGGTTTTACTTAGTTTCTAATTCTGGAGTTTTTGTGATTTGTATGTTCTACCACATTATGTTTTATGATTTTTGCATTCTCTCTGCTGGCTATGTAACAGGAGACAACAGAATTCCAAGCATGAGTAACTCCAGACTCAGAAACAAACCAGATACAGGAAATCTCCCCAGTGGATCTTTTGCAGGCGAGGAAGCAAGAATTGCCTGGATCAGCTACCAAGCCACTTCGCTCCTGGGATCATTACCGAGTCTCCTTCCAAGATACCAATGACGACAAGTGAACCACAGGTCAGAACACTATGACCCATGAGTTGAGGGAGATGCTTTCCAAGACTGACAAGATGACTAGCACACCATTTGCCCAAACATCAATTCTGACACCTCAGGCCTACACAGGGATGCCTGGGTCCCAGGGAGAGTTTCCGCTCCTTAACATACGCCATGGTTTTCAAAGCAATCAACTCATGCCACGGGACAACTGATTTACCCGTACATAAGATGACTATGTTTTCTGAACTTCAAATTGGGCCATATGGCCTGATGTGTATTAGCATACTTTGACAAAGAAGACACTGTGAGATTTGGGACTGCTATGGAAACAGAGAACCAAGCCAGAAATAAAACTCAGAGCACAATCCTAATCTTCATTTGCTTTTCAGAAGTACATATTCCCATTTGCTGCACAAACAGCACCACTGCCTTGCTTCTCACAAGAATGCCGATTCCCACACAGAGAGGAGAATGGTCTGCTAACCTGCAGCAGGGGCTACAAGGTTCTGCAAACTCCTGTGCTTAGAGTCAAGTTTCTTTTCAGGCAGGAAAACCAAGAAGTACCTTTCATCCACATCACAGGTCCCTTGAAGAATTCAGAGTGACTTTGGGGTCAAGAAGATTTCGTGGAACAGGGCCTTTTGTCACTGAATGACAGCCCGTAACCATTCTAAACTGTATCGATAAAAAAAAAAAACATAAAGAATGATGTTACAGTCTGCATCCTACACATGAGCACATGAGCACAGATTCATTTCAAAACATAAATGACATCTAAGTTTTTACTCTATCCCTTAAGAGCTGCAATGCTACTGTTCCACATACATGAAAGCCCTGAAAATTAACCATGAACACCACCATTTCTGATTCTATTGGGAAGTGGGAATGCTCCTGTTATGAGTCCAGTGCAATTAAAAATAATTTTCTGTGTATTAATGCAGGCTTTTTAAAAATTGGGAAGACACACATCTGAATTCAGAGTACTTTCTTTAAGTATGCCCTCCTCATAGACTGAGTTCTATTTCAATGCATGCTTTCTGAAGAGATTTTCACAAAGCTGCAGTGATCTTGTATAGAGTAAATTTGACAAGGAATGCCCAGGAGTTGTGAAATCTACATGAGTTCAGGCATAGAAGGAGTTCTCCAGCACAGGGCCTGTTTCTCTGATTACTGATAAGATGGCACTGCAACAACATGAGGAATCAAAAGGTTTACTTACCAACTCTCACCAAAAGTATTCAACTGGAGACAGGAGTTAGTTTTCATTAAGTGAACCAATTCTCTTTAGTAGTCTTTGGATAAATAGCTTCAAAATACGTCCCATTCATTCAGCTTAGTTTACATTTTAAAAATCTCAGACTCTTTATTCTGCAGTTAACCAAACAGTGAGATGTTAAAACTGTTATCTTATTACTGAACCAAAAAAAAAGAAAAAGAATCCAGGCTGGTATGACTTGAGGGATACTCAGGAAATATCAAGCTAGTATACCTTCTTCAAGTCCACGAGAAAACTTTGGCACTAAAAGGGAGAAAGTAATAATGTAGCCCAATATCCTAAATTCATACAGAAAGAGAGACAGAGACAAGAGAGAGAGAGAGGCAGGAGGAAGGCAGTCAGAAAGACCGGAGAAGGGAGGGGAGGGAACGAAGACAAAGCAAAAAGGAAAAAAGAAAAGAGCAAAGAACCCTGAGACTCACGGAGATTACAGGGTTCTCCTGGGGGCTAGTGAGCCAGCCCCTGATTCCCTGGATGAACAGTCATTCTCCTGGAACCTACTATGCCCTTTCCCAGATACCAGAGGATTATTTATTCCTCCTCTCTTCCTCATAACTGTTAGGCCTGTGTCCTCACCAGGCGTCTGTAGGAAAGAACAACACATCCTCCTTCGAAACAGTCGGATGAGGACAGCAGGACAGCCCTCGGATAGGGTGCTGCAGGTAACACTGCCTATCATCAGGCAAGCAAATGTCAAGTCCCTGAGCCCAAGAATTCTGCTCTTCACATGGGGTCATTTCTTCTTTCCACCTATGGCAGCCTCGAAGAAGAAGGTCTAGTTTCCTAAAACAGTTACAGAGTATCTGGAAGCATTTTCCTTGGTATAAAATTCTCACAAATGGTTCTAAAGCACTTTGCCTAGCTTTAACTTGGACAAATGCTCTAAATTCACAGCTGCACTTCACGTCCTGCTTTCACGCCTTCTCTGTAAGAGAAGTGTTGCATGCAGAGTGTCCCTACGCAAGTCTCAAGGGCCTAAGAGCTTTCTCTGGATGTAGAAGCAAGATCCAGGCACCCTAAAATAAATGCTTCTTGCAGGGAGGGGAGAAGCACACTGTCAGTGACAACCTCATAGTATTTAGTTTGAAAGCTCATGATTAGCACGTCTGAACTTCTTAGCCTAAAAAACATGTGAGATTAAGTTCAGCCCTAGGAACCCTAAATAACTCTATTTTCTGAATTCTTGGGAACATCAATATAATATGTATCCACAAATGAATTTCACTTTTCATATTTAAAAAGGAAGTTATATGAACAATGAAATTCAGCCCATTGTTTCCTTCACAACATACCCAAGCCATAGTCACTGCTATTATAGAACATGCAGTAAACACTGTTAACTAGGAAACCCTTATTCTAAAATATAATCTGAGCTAGGTGAGCGTGGCATGAGGAACATGCGCTCTTGTCCACAAACGTCCCTGAGATTCTACACCAAAAAAAGCAGCTGCAGTAATTAGTCAAGGATTGGCAAGTTTATCTCTGAAAAATCACCTCTTGTGAGGACAACATTCAAGAAATAATCCACACATTTTACAGCCTCCTGACTTCTGACATGAAACCCATGGCTTCTAAGTCTCTTTTTCTCCGAGAAAAAATTATATAATTTAGACCAGACAGTAGACATTTACATGCAATTCAAGCTTTCAGAGTTTTCACCTCTTCTGGTTTGTTTTCCATAATTATGTCCTGTAACATGCTGTATGTGCCTTCCTTCTCACTAATGAGGAAATGTGAGCACAGAAACATTAAGTGACTTGGCCATAGGAATGGCGAGCAACCCAAATAGCCTTGTCCTGAGTGTAACGTTCATTATATTTTTCCTCCAAATCCAAAATACATTAAAATGTCGTCTCTGAAGTCATAGTTGGGTGACATTTCCTTGTGCTACCATAATCAATTGTCCACTATTGGTCTTGGTTTTCATTTTCACTCAATCCCACTGCTCACTGCCTTCCACTCTCCGAGTGGTCCCCTGAAAACTGTTTCTCTACAGGTGAAGAGGAAAGGGCAGGAAGAAAGGTGTAATTACCTTTTGACCCTAAAACTCAATTCACTCAAATTTTAAATGCCATTAAAGAAGAGGTAAGATTGACCAAATGATGGCCTGGATTGAAAAAGCTTGAGAAAGGCAATCCCAGGTCCTTGTGAATTCTTTCTTCACAGGTGTCAGAGTACACTATGTGTGGAGGCACCCAATCTGGTGTTCGGGGGTTTTACCAAAATCAGGACAACCATCCCATAAAGAATCAAAGTTCTTAAAAAAAAAAATCAAACAGTAAGGTCTCTAATGCATGTAGATTAGTAGTGCAAGGCGATTATCAGTTTCTCCTCACACTGTGAAACACCTTGTAGTGAATCAAATGCTCTTATGTGTGTCATAAGGTCCCTTAATAAAGACGCAATGATGGTGATGTAGAAACCAGGTGTTTTGAAACTGCCTCATTATATCCACTTTAGCAAAGAGAACTGAAATCAGAAGTGACTCCCCACTTTCTGCTGTTCTGTAGCTGGACACAAAAAATAAACTGAATGATTCTGGCATTAATGTTGCACATTTAATAGAAAAAGATCTTAAGCCATAATCACTGTAGCTGCTGAGCATCTTATTTCTTCAAGAATTCTTTCAGTGCATGCATTAACTTTGGTTAAGTTATTCTGGACTTAAAAGGCAGAATATTTAAAATAGTATGGTTTCTGAAGCATCACTGTAACAGACCAATTTCAAAAGATTCAGCTGTTCGATTTTACTTCACAGTCCCTTTGTGTTTCAGTTAAATTTCAAAATAGGAGAGGGTTGTGTGCTGTTACTTGTGTGGTCAGCAGTCTCACACAAAGAAAAGGAGAGAGCAAAGGAAATAAGACTAAGAAGTGACTCGTCCAATGATCGTCACGGAACTGTTACATTAGTAAACATTCACAGTATGAAGTCTCTCTCGACCTTCAGCATATCAAGTAGTGCAAAGGAAAAGATTCCAGTCTTGTCACCTGTTACATCTTCTCCAGTTTCATTTCTTCACAACGTTAGGCATTTGTTGTCATTGCTTCCCACGATTAATAATAAAATATAATCAATTTCTAAAGGGCCCTGTAGCCTTTTTAAAAGTTGATTTCCAGTCAAAAATAAACTTTAATTAAATCCAAGATAAAACTGTGACCTATATTGTTAAATAATTTACTTTCTCTTTTTTTGTACACAATAACTCTTACAACATTTAAAAAACAACTACAGAATTCAAAGACATCGAAGATGCTATTAAAGCACTGGTAAATGACTGCTCAAATTCTTTAGTTCTTACATAGTAAATACTTCAGAATGCCAACTTCTCCCGTCACTGCACAATTACCAACAACGCTGACAGTGTACTTACACATACACACACAGGCACACACGCTCACACATACACTCTCTCTCCATGGAACCATCTTTACTATTAACATCTCTTCCAGTTCATGTGCAAAATTCTTGCATTCTAATAAAAAATATAAAGATAGATTTGCTCCTATTTAAGCCTCCCTCTTCTCCAAGATGTTTCATTTATTTGACATGTGATCCAAGTTTAGCAACAATTATGCCATGTATTACCATTAAATGGCGTACTACCTTATGCATTGGACTCATTTGCATATTTCATTTTCATAACTGCACTGTCTATGCATAAATATATTTGGAGATGCTGGGGGGGCCGTGGCTGGTGGGGGGAGTCATTCACACATCGGTCTCCACAGCCTTCGCGTTGGAACAGTTGTTTTTCTCTGTCTCGTTCTCCTCCCCCCTTCCCTGGCACTTCTCCTCCTTCGCACACAAGGACTCCTTCACTCCTTCCTCCATCTCTAGATACTCTGATTTGTCCCCCAGGGAGGAAGAAGTGGAGCTCCGAAATTTCTTCAGCAAATTGGAAGGGAGGTACGGGCAGCTGACAACGTTCTGTGTGAGCTGCGTCTGCTCCTCGTTTTCAGTCTCTCTGTGGTAGAAATAGTTGAAGTTGGAGACGATCACTGGTACTGGCAAAGCGATGGTTAAGACACCCGCGATGGCACACAGGGACCCCACAATCTTGCCCCCCACGGTGATGGGCTTCATGTCCCCGTAGCCCACAGTTGTCATGGTGACCACGGCCCACCAGAACGCGTCGGGAATGCTTTGGAAATGGGTGGTGGGCTCATCCGCCTCTGCAAAGTACACGGCACTGGAGAAGAGGATGACCCCGATGAAGAGGAAGAAGATGAGCAGCCCCAGCTCACGCATGCTGGCTCGGAGGGTGTGGCCCAGGATCTGCAGGCCCTTGGAGTGCCTGGAGAGCTTGAAGATCCGGAACACACGGACCAGGCGGATGATCCTGAGGATGGCGAAGGACATGGCCTGCTGCTGCTGCCCGTTGCTGCCCTCCTGCTGCTGGGCCAGATCCGTGCCCAGGGTGATGAAGTAAGGCAAGATGGAGACAATGTCAATGATGTTCATGATGTTTTTGAAGAAGAGGGCTTGGCTGGGACAGGCAAAGCAGCGGACCACGAACTCAAAGGAAAACCACACGATGCACACGGTCTCCACGATGAAGAAGGGGTCGTTGAAGATCGTGTGCCCCAAGTTCTCCAGACGGGGTGCCAAGGTGTCATTCAACAACCCACCGTGCCCGCCAGCGCCGGTGCTCAGTGCCATGACCAGGTCCCTGTCGTCCCTGAACTCGGGCAAGGTCTCCAGGCAGAAGATGACGATGGAAATCAAGATGACCAGGACGGACACAATGGCGATGCCCCTGGCGGGACTGGAGCTCTCTGGATACTCGAAGAGCAGCCAGATCTGCTTTTTGAACTCACTCTCAGGCAGGACCCTGTCCTCCTCCTCCCTCACGAACCCCTCGTCCTCCCGGAACTTGAGCAGGGCCTCCTCGCCCAGCTGGTAAAACTTCACCTCCTCAGTGAAAATGTCGAAGGGGACGTTGACGGGCCTCTTCAGGCGTCCTCCCGACTGGTAATAGTACAAGATGGCATCAAAGCTGGGCCTGTTCCTGTCAAAAAAATACTCATTGCGCAGAGGGTCAAAGTACTGAGTCCTCTTCTCAGGGTCTCCCAGCAGAGTCTCTGGAAACTGGGCCAGGGTTTTCATCTGGGTCTCGAAGCGCAGGCCGGACACGTTGATCACCACACGTTCGCAGCAGTCACTGTAGCGCACGGAGCTGTACCCGCCTCCGCCGCCTTCGTCCTGGGGCAGCAGGTCTGTGTAGGAGCACTGGTCACCTCGGTCCTGCTCGCTGTAGTAGAACCTGGCCTCCTCCTCCCCCTCCCCCTCCTCCTCCTCCTCCTCCTCGTCCTCCTCCTCCTCCTCCTCCTCCTCCTCGCTCAGCTCCCTCAGGATCTTCTCCTCAGAGCCGCTGGGCATGAGATCCGAGCAGTGAGGGAAGCTGCTCTGCCTGTGGTGGGCTTTCTTCTTCTCAGGCCGCTGTCGCCCCCGCCTCCTCCGACTGCCGCGAATGCCCTGGGGGTCACGGGGGGTGCAGGCCGCGCGGGCCTGGTGGTGGTGGGGGGGCCCCCCTCCGGAGCCCCCGCTGCCTTCCACAGCCGCGGTGGCTGCCGCCACGGCTGCAGCGGCAGCGGCCCTGGAGTGGGCCAGCCGCTCACGCTCCCGGGCCCGGGCCTGGGCCGCATACCCATAAGGCAGATGACTGTTGCACCCTGAGCTCTCCGCACTCACCATGGCGACCTCCATGGTGGTGGCCTTGGGAAACGGCTGGTTCCAGCTGTAAAAGAGGAAGGAAGGAGGAGAGAAAATAGGGCAGCTCCTTCGCTCACCAAACGAAGGTAAGTTTGGAACTCTTAAGCAGATTGCTTGGAAGACTAAGGATATTTTCAGTCCAACTTTGCATTTTCTGTTTTTAAATCAGCACACCCCTGTGTTCTCTCTGCTCGGGGGCTCAGCACTGCTCTCCAGAGCTCCGCTGGTCTAGACAGCCTCACGATTCTCAGACTTCAGTCAGAAAACGCGGGGTCTCCCACACACTGGCATGGGGGGCTCCACCGTGGAGACCTGTCTGGGCTGCGCTCAGTGATGCGGCTGTCCCCTGCCAGGGCAGCGAGCACCTGACTGCCAGCCGTCGTGCCTAGAAAATGAAATCTATTTTTCTGCTATGGAAACTGTCCAAAGCCCAGTCGGTCACATATAAATAAAGTGCAAATCAGCCGTGCGTCTCAGCACTTGCCTTCTAGTGATGGTCTGAGCCTCGTAAAGGTGGGGCCGAGGGGTTGCCCGGCCATGGCTGCTCAGGCCAGGAGGATGAGTCCCCGGGCTCTCTCCGCACCTTCATCACAGGCCCCCTGGGCCCAGGGTGACCCCGAGCTGCGGGAGGAGGTGAAGATGGGAGGGAGAGACGATGCAGGACGCAGTGTCCACAGAAGCCACACAGGCTGGCCGGTCTCCATAGGAATCAAGGCAGGGCAGAGCATCCTTTGGCTAAAAACACGGCGGAAGAAGCGCTTCACCTGAAGGGGGTGGGAAACAAGCACAGGATCAAAATAAAAAGAGCAATGGAACTATGCAGCACCAACCGAGCCTTTCCCTGGCGCGCACCGCACCTCCTCCTCCTGCCCTCAGGCAAGCTGCACGGCGCAAGCCAAGAGACCACAGAGGTTCAGGAGTGTGGGGCAAGCGACTCTCAAGTCTCCCTCTCACTCCACACCCCTCCTCCCTCTTCCTCGGCTGATTTCAGCTCAGCCCACCTTCTCGGCAGCGCAGCCACTCCGCTGCTGTCCACGCTCGAGCCACTTGCTTTCTGCTGGCCTCCTCTCTTCTCCGGAGCCACCTGCGCACGCTCACTACCACTCTCCCCACCCCGCAATAGCAACGCTGCTCTTCACAGGCATCCCCAGCATTCAGGTGCCCCAGTGCATTTCCTAAATTTCCACTCATAAGGTGTTTTTGAATTAAGCAACTTTCCATTTCTCTCTATCTTGACTCAGGAATGAAGAAGTCTGAAAAATCGGTTTCCTTCAAGGCAGACTCTGCTACTTGAATGAGATCCAATCTGCTCCTCTCCAATTTGTAAATAACGTAACACAACCTCCCTCAGCCCACCTGGGAAAGGGACAAATGAGACAATGACACGGGTTTGTGCACAGTGAGTGCCAATAAAAGCAGCAGCACATTCAGGAAAGACACCACCATGACCCGTTCTTTCACTGGCAGCTGTCCAAGGGGACCATCCTCTGCCGCAGGCCGGTGAGGACTCAGGCGGTCCCACACTCTGTGGGTCCTGTGTTCCCGGCATCCCTCACTCCCCGAAGCGAAGCGTGGCTCTGCTGTGTTTCTCTTCCTCAGATTCCTGAACACTTCCTCGCTCCTTCCACCCACAGCCTAGAAGTTCGCACAGCTGTAATAATCATCCCTCCTTACAGCTCTGCCCGTTCACCTCAGCATCGTTTCCTCCCACACTCGTCCAAGGAACTATCTCGTTTCTTAAACGCCGGTCTGTACGGCCTCAGTTCTGGGTCTGTCTCACTCTTGCCCTCATCCTTGTGTCCGCCCCATCCCTGAACAGCACCCCACTGCACTTCCCAGCTCCCACTTCCTGATGGGTCACCTGTTGCCTGACCCCTGTGGTGCCCACTGTCACCTGCTACGCCTGGCCCTTCTTCTTCCATAGTTTGCCCCCACCTGGAACTCCACCCCCCACCCTGTATCTCGTCTCCTCCGGCTTCTCCCCTTTACACTCCAACGGGCCTCTGAGAACGCAGCCAGGGAGTGGCCCGCAGAATCAGAGGACGCTGGCACTCAAAATCCAGGGCATCTCCAGCTTCTATTACTGGAAGCACTCAGGAAGCAGAAGAGAAAGGGCCTTCTGAAGCCATCAGCAGGACTGGGCTCCGGGCCACCTGCTGCTCCCCGCCCAGCAGCAGGCCTCCTCACCTAAGCACACTGGGGTTTGGGGAAATGTCGGGGGGGGGGGGCGCTGTGGCAAACACACAGCCGCCTGGTCAACCCTAAACACCTCCCAAGGGAGAGGGAGCTCCAGATGCCAAACCCGGAAACCCACCTGAGCACAGGTGGTCAGCTCCTCCCTCTGCCCACCCCTACCTACCCTCCTGTGGTAACCACCTCAGAGTCAGCCCGGCCAACCTGCCCAGGGAGGCCCCATCACTGTGCCTGGCAGGCCAGCAGCACGGAGGGGATGCTCAGGCCAGAGCCTGAGAGTTTCCCCAGTCTCCCAACTTCCACAGGCAGCTGCAAGGACTGCTTAAATGAAGCCCTGTGGCATCTGCAGGGCTTCCCACCCCAGGGGCTCCTGAAAGCCAGGAAGGAGTCTTCAAGCTCTCCCTCAACTCTGGGAGTTCCAGCTGCCCTCCTCCAGCTCCACACCAGTTTCCTTCCTAGGGCTCTGGGTTTGTTAATTTTCATCTAACTCCCCATTCACCCTACAAAAAGCAAATCACCTCCCTTTTAATTGGCTGCCAGTTACCTCACTGTTCCTGATCAGAAAGAAAGGAAATAAAGGAGGGAAGGGAGGAAAGAGGAAGGAAAGAAGAAAGGAGGAAGAAAGAAGGAAGGAAGGAAGGAAGGGGAGAGGTAGAAGGGAAAGAAAGGAAACAACACACCAGACTGGCTTCAAATCGCTCTTCCCTCCGAGGCTTCCCTGCAGGGAGAAGCTGCAGCCGGCAGCACCGCGGGAGAGGCTCCGGGGACCCCTTCCCGGCCCAGCAGACAGCCGCTCCAGCACCGGCCCTCCTCCCGCACCCCACACCCGGCTGCTTTCCTCGCAGCGCTGACCCGGGCGGACCGAGCTTGCTGAGGAGTCAGCAGGCGAGCGAGGGAAGGGAGCGGGCGGAGGGGCCGGGCAGCCGGACCGCGGGGCCGGGCTGGAAATGCGCGCACCCCGCCACGGGCCGGGCGCCCCCCGCGCTCCACCCCCGGGGTTATTTTTAGCTCGGGCCTCGCATCCCGAGCCCAGCCCACCTTCTGGGATCGTCCCGCGACGTCCGCGGGGCAGGCGCGGGTGGGCGGGGGTCGCTCCCCGGTCAGGGGGCGCCGAGGACGCGAATGGGTCCCCGCCTGTGCCGCCGCCGCCGGCCACAGGGGACCCGGCCGCGGAGACCGCCCTGCCTCGGCGGCCGGCCGGGTCGCTCCCTGAGACCCCGCTCCGCTCCACGTCCCGCAGGCGACAGATCCTAGACAGCAGCTCCACGCTCCTCCCTCCGCGACGCGGAGGCAGGACACGCCTCCCGGGGCGGGCCGCGCGCGGGGTGTGGCCGGGCCGTCGGCGCAGTCACGACGCGGCTCCGCCCCGCTCCTCAGGACGGCCGAGGAGCCCCGGCAGGCGGGTGGAGGCTGCGCCGGTCCGGCCGAGCCTGACCCGCACCCCCGCCTGGGTCCGCGCCCGGCCTCGAACCCGCCTCGCACCCAGGAAGATGGCCCGGGAGCGGGTGCGGGGCGCAGAGTTTGGGGCGCGGTGCGGGAGCGGGGTGTGGGGTGCGGGCAGGGCGCAGGCGCTGAACAGCTGGGGCCCGGGGAACCTGTTGCTGCAGGAAGAAATCAACTCCTGCTTCGGGCCGCGGCTTGGAGGTCGGGGTCACGCTGCCGGCTTCCCCACGCTCAGACCCAGCAAATCCCCAGCAGTGACAGTGTCCCGCACTCGGACCCCGACCCGACCCGACCCGACCCGACCCCGACCACGGCGGACGGACGCCCAGGCCCCGCACTGCACGGGCAGCTCGGCAAAGGCCTCCGAGCAAGCGCGGTGCGGGGCGCAGTTCCCACGGGTCCACCCGCGGCTGCCCGCACCCGATGCCCGCGGACCGGGGCGCCTCCTGTCCGGGCCGAGGTCGCTCGGGTGGTGGAGCGAATCCGCCCTGGGCTGCAACCTGGCGGTGGGGTGATCGCTGTGTTCTCGCCGCCGGCAGCTTTGTTGGGGACCCTCCTGGGCCTCCTGCTTTGTGGAGCTCGATTAATTATTAAGGGAAATATTCCCGGGCTGAATTATAGATACGCCCCGCGCACGCTCCTTACCCCGCACCTGGACAACTGCTCTTGGCTGATGTTTACTCTGTTTAAATATCGGAAGGAGAAAGGAAGTTCAAATTGCAATCAGAAAAGAGGAGAAGGAGGACACAAAAACCTGGCATGGGGCCTGGAGGGCCTAACTCTGCAGGGAGCGCATCCTCTGCTGTTGGCCAGAATCCTTTTACCTGGGGTAGAGGCCAGAAGGGAAGGAGCCGGGGTCTCTCCGGAGAAGCGCCTGGCCTCCCTGCACCCCAGTGCAGTGCTGTCCAGAGGGCTGGGTGCACCTGCTGCCGCCCTGCCGGACCTCGCAGATGGCTCGCACCGAAGGGCCCACCTCGCTCTGGGGTTGATGGAAGGCGGAGATGAAGGCACAGGATCCGGGGACCCATTTCCCAAAAGCAATTCGTGAGATCAATCCAGAGCAGCTCTGGATTGCTTTCAGGGAGATGAAAAATGAGATTAAGTGATGCACTGAAGAGAACAGTTGTCCTGGAGCTTGGATGCTTTCATTGGATCAAGTTAAACGTTTATGAATTACGCTCTGGCTGCCATTGACTTTTGCTTCCTACTGTGGCCCAGATAATTTTAAAGTTTCAATGCCCGAGCCTATAAATATTTGGGCTTCTTAAGCAGCAGGAATAAGAGTTGCTAAACCACAGCATGAATGCAGCTGGGGGAAAAACAGTCATGTAGTTATTCATCAAGGACGCTGGATAAATTTGTACCTGGGACTTCACAGAGGCCACTGAGAGCCATTGGATGTCCACCTAGTGACTGGCTCTCAGCTCGGTGCATAGACACTCTCTTATTTTATCTGCATAACTAAGCACTTTATGTAACGGGTAATATTATTATCACTTTTATAGAGAAGGAAATTGAGGCGTACATTGTCAGGTAACTTGCCAGAAATTGTATAGCTAGTTAGGTAGCAAAACCAGGCCTTTCGCATCTGAGACTGCAGTGTGGACAGAGCCTGTGCTGGTAGCACTCACACTGCGTGTCCATCCCCATGTGTGCATCCACACTCGTGGCTGTCAGAGATGCGTGGAGATTATGAAGCAAGGAATTCCTGCTATGAAGGAAGTATGAGAATAGCTTTGTCTAAGGCGAAAGAAACAAGCCAAGATGATCAAGGAAAGGGTAGATACAGTGGAGAATGCTAACAACTCACTGGCTACAGTGGAGACAAGGTGGGCCCATGTTGCTATGGGTCAGGGTGGTGTAGACACATCAGTTAGTGCTGGAGGGATGGCTTTGGTCCAGCTGGGAAGAATATATCCCCTCCCACCCTTCCCTCATCACACGCACACCCATGCACACACACATGCACGCACGCACAACTCTTAGCCTACTTAAATAATTTTGTTGTAACAAATCATTCCATTTCTCTCCTTCAGATTCTCTTAGGGATTTTTAGAAACACACAAACAGGGAGTAGAAAGAGTCTTTGTTTCTGACCAACAAAATATACCTCGACTTAGTCCTCAAACTCAATTTTCTTTGGAGAGGAAAAATTAATTGTATTTTTACTTTTCTTCAGCATCAGCTCATCAAAATTCCCCAAGCTCTCCAACTCTGATATACCTGTTACCACAAATAATTTATCCTTGTCTTTGAATCCTCTGGTTGGTGATACAAGCATCCTGCTTACTCTAGGAAGCCTTTGTTTATGGAGACTGGAGAGAAGGGCAGCAGATTTTCCTTTGTGCAAAGTCAGACAGGAGGCCTTGTGGGATACACGCTAAGTTCATTATAAATGTTTTGGTTCTCTTTGAGGAGTGCGGTCCACAGTGAATTTCTGTGTTCTGTCTCCCCCTCCTCTCTGTCCTCAACAAGTCAGGACACCTCTCTGAAAGTCGCTGTGATCCCCAAGCAACCCATGCCTGCACTTGACCCAGGCAGAATGCAGATGAATAAGGGAGGAAGCGTCCGTTTGCCCAGAAAGTCCAGTGGCTGCATTGGGGTAGAGCAAGATCATTTCTTCTTCACTGCTTACCCCAGCCTCTCAGGTGTCTAACTTGAGCAGTTGTGAAGAGATGGATGATGAAAACACACTGGGGAACTTATTTCCATTCCTGCCATCCTAAATTTATGGATGGAAATATCCTGAGCAGCCCATTATGCCTTGACCAGTGTGAGTCACCCAGCTAGTTCGTCTTATAAATGAGTCTTCCACTCACTAGTGCTTCCCATTCTGTCTTATAAGTGCAAAGCTCAGCTCTCAAGAGATCAGAAAGGCATATTTGTTTTTGATTACTGTGAGTGTCTTAGTCATCTGAGCTTCTAAGTAAAATACTATAAGCTGGGCAGCGTGTAAACAGCACAGAGGTATTTCTCACTATCCTGGAGACTGGGAAATCTGAGACCAAGATGGCGGCCAGTTCCATGTCCGGTGAGAGCCTGTTCCCTGCTTTGCAGACATCCCCTCCTTGCTGGTCCTCACAGGGTGGCAGTGGCAACGCAGCTCTACGGGGCTTCTTGGACAGGGACATTGTTCCCTTGGGAGCTCATCATCTCCTTACAACATCAGATTAGGGGTTAGAATTTTAATATGAAAATGGGGCTGACTCAGACATTTGGGCCACAGCACGGAACCCTGGAGAGAGAGACCCGGATACTCAATTGCTGTGACTCTGATGGCAGAATATGCCATGGGCGCAGGGGCGGGGCTACTGGCAACCGGAGGGTAGAAGCCCAGAGTCCACACACCTAGGTGGTGTGGCTCTGGTTGAAGGAGCAGGAGAAAGAGGCAGCTGATGGGGGCTACAAAGACCCAGGGCAGGAGTGCCATGGTGGAAGTGTGCAGAGAAGATGGGTACTGGTGAGAAAAAACAAGACCAGC